CAATCTGATCATCAGTTTTCTATCCTTCCTAAGGTCACTTATAGGAGCACATTGTCCAAGATAGTATCTCATAGGCAGTTGTTGGAAATGGCAGAGGGGTGGTAAATCAGACAGAAGACAAGGGTTGCCTTTCAGAGACTGTGGGGGGTGAACTTTCCACTAGTGAAGAGAAGCAGGTGTGTGGCCATGGGAGCCCAGTCTCAAGAAGTCATGGAGTGCCTGCCCTTCTGTGTGCTCTGAACTCACTGAGTGGCCACATGACGAATCTGACAGCTATACATCACCAATTCTAGAGACCAGGCCAGGGGATTAAGCAGAGAAGTCATTGGTTTCCCTAGCCATGACCTTCAGCAGGGATCAGCAGGGTACCCAAACAGAACCATCTGTACCTGAGGGCACGCTAAAACCAGATACATAGGAATCAGATCAGACCCACTACACTGTGTTGGAGATCGTCAAAAGGTACATAGGGCAGTATGCAAACCTGCGGTTCCTAGGCAATGAGACCATAAGAGTATGACTAGAAGAGGTCCAGGAATCAGTAAAGACTTCAGGAACAGAGGAAAGTGGGCTGACAATATGGTTAACACATCTGTTCTCTGGTAAGAGACAAAATCAAAACTGAATTATTGGTACAAAACTGAATTTGTGTGGCAATTTGCAAATCTGAGCCACTTCCTGTTCAGGCACTAGATATGTAGTATATTGGGGTAAGTAAGTCTCTACTAGCTGGATCAAGGGAAGTTCCCATCTTAACTGAGGGTGCTAACAAAATTACTTGGATGTCTATTGAGTCTACCTGGATAAATATTTCAAGCTTGTGGTACCCCAAAAGCTAAGAACCTCAAGGGTTTCTTAAACTCAGGAATTAATTGGAAAAAAAAATAATAACACCATTAATAAAGAGGTTTAGCCATGTGAAGAACATGTCTGTATCTTCTTCTAAATCAAGTATCTCAAAAATTCTATTGCTTATTGTGATTTTTGTAAAGTAATTTCTCTTCGAGTTAAAAAAAATAAGTGATAATATTCTTCCCCATTATGCTTGCTCACTCATTACAAATAATAATTGCAAGCCTCTGCAGCTGAGATTTCCGAAGATGCAAGGTTGGGGGCAGACTCAAAAAACCCTACTTTTCACCAAGAATCACAGGGACAAGTCATAAACCAGAAGTTCCCTTGCATTTGTCCCACTCTCTCCTGTCATATTTCCTGGCGCCTTCCTGGGGACTGCCATTCTGAAGTGCCCCAGCTTTGATGGAGAGCTGGGGGATTTCTCTTCACAGAGCTCCCATCCCCTCCTTTCTCATCATTTGAGAGTGGCAACAGAGAGCTGGACTGAGAAGTTTTTGGAGAGTAGAGGAACTCTGTCACTTGGCATGCGTTTCTCACACACTGGAGGAGTACCTGTCTCTCTCTTGGCACTGGTTGGAAGATTGTCCACTATAGTGATTGCACAGGAAAGGGCTCCAGACCGGAAAATGAAACCCTGATTCCAGTCTGAGCTCCAACTTTTTCTAGTTAACTTGGATCTAGAATCTGGTTGAAATCTGAATTTATTCTGGTGATGAAAAAAATTTAATGGTTAATTCCTTGACTCCTCAAAGAAGTGATTCTTAGTTAGATGTGTTTGGGTTACACAAATCTTTGCAAATCTAGGGCCCGCTCCTTAGAAAAGTACATAGAGCCATACACCCATGAAACTTGTATAATTTTAAAGGTTTGACAAGGTGCTGAGGCCCAACTGCAGGCCCAGTATAAGACCCCCTCCAGGCTTTAACAACATTGGGAACAGTGTTGAGTCCAACCTCCTTAGCATAGCACACAAAGCCTTTGTGATCTGGCCCTTTGCTCCCTCTCCAGCTTCTCCTAATGCTCCTTGTACGTAACAATGTGCAATTCTCCTTTCTCACTTCTGCACTTTCTTGCATATTGATCTCTCTGCCTAGAATGTTCTCTTCCTTGACTGCCTGGAAATTGACTAACTCTATTAAGGAAGATTTAAGTTCTTCTTCTCCTCCTCCTCCTCCTCCTCCTCCTCCTTCTTTTGTGATATGTACCAAAACAGGGTATTTGTTGGGCTATTTAGTCAGTGGTATGAAAGTAGCCATAATGTTAAATCTCATGTCAAAATGTAAAAATGGTGTTTCAATGCCTTGTAGATTCTCCATCTGAAGAATTCAGAAGTTCCAAGGCTTCTTTGGCAGATAAATGTCAAGACTTTCTGCTGCTTTTATAGGATAAAGTCAGGAACGATGTTATCTGTGGTCCTAACCACCATGGACCCTGTGGCAGACATTGTCTACTGGCTGTCCACAGCCATTTTGCAGCTCCCTTCTCTATTGCTGTCTCCCATTACAGGGGCTGGAAATGCTTTCTCAGTCAGCTTTGTAGTTAGGGGTTGAACCTAGTTCTGGTCAAGAGGTCTTAAGGGAAAGTCTGCTGGGAACTTCTGGGAAAACTTTTGCTTTCCTGATAAAAGAAACATCCACACTGGAGACAATATTTTTTCCCCTTTTCCTGCCTGCAAAGATGATATGATGTTTGGAGCTATGGCAACCATTTTGTGATCATGAGGTGATTAGCATGAGCAGTGGTTCTCAAACTTGAGTATGCACCAGAATCACCCAGATTGTTGTTCCTACTCCTAGTTTCTGATTCTGGAGTGGGCCTGAGGATTCGCATTGCTACCATGTTTCTAGATGCTGCTGCTGCTGCTGGGTTGAGGACTACCCTTTGAGAATCACTAAACATGAGGATGAAAATTCAGTAGGCTGATGATGGCAAAGCAGAATGATAGAGTCTGGGTGCCGATGGTCTTGTCAGGTAGCTGAATCTATAAATAACTGTCCTGCCTCTGGATTTTTTGTTCTCTGAGAAATTAAAGAACTATTTGGTTAAGCTATGATTTGTTAGGTTTATTATGACCCACATTCAAAAGCATTCTGGACTTATAGAGAGCTGGACTCGGTGAGGAGGGTAGAAAGAGAGAAAAATCCAAACAGATGCTCATCTGAGGCTAACTTAAGATGAAGTAAAACTACCTTGACAGGAAATGTTCTGAAACACCTCTTAGAGTCCATGGGTATTGATCATTGTGGATTTTTTTTTTTAATATTAGGTTAATTTAAAACATTTAAATCAAAGTAAAGCATGTACATAATTTAAGAAGTCTAGTTATGCAACACTTCTAATGACGAATGTAATGCTCTGCCCTACCCTACCCACTCTGATATCTACTCCTCTGAGGTATTCATTTTCAACTCTTGTAGTGGATTCTTCTGAAATTTATAAATTTACCTAATGACATGCTTCTATTATCATTGTTTACCTTTTCAGCTTTGCTTATTCACTTCCTCCTCTGGAAGATAAGAATTTAGATTTTTTTCTATACGCTTTCCTCCACACCACATGCTGAAATCTGTTGGTACCTTGATCTTGGAGTTCACAGTCTCCAGAACTGAAAAAAATAAATTTCTGTTGTTTTTAAGCAACCCTGCCTATGATATTCCAAATTTACTGGGACAGTCACCATCTTGAACATTGATGGTTAACATGCAGAAGGAAAGAGAGTCAGAGGAGTCTCAAGGCAGCAAATAATTGCTTCAGGCATGAAGTGACACATATCCTTTCTGCTCTAAGTCTCAGTTTGTTCATTTACAAAATAGATGTTAAAGTAAGTTAAAGTAAGAAAAATGATTGCAAACTGGTGGCAGTTTGAGAAAATTAGCTTAGGAGGAAGGCAGAATTCCTTCTGGAGAAATGACTGAGATTTTGTTTAGGAAAAATTCCTTAATGAAGCTGTGTGTTTATTAAAGTCAAGTGTTCTACGTATGGCTAGAAGGGAAGAGGTTTTGATGGAGAATTAAATTGTTTTGATTAATAAAGTAATAGAAAATTTTAGTTTTCCTCTGGTGAGATAAAGTTTTGAAGGAATCCTGGTCTTGGGAGAAAGTTAAGAGATGGAGGAGAGGATTTTACTAGAGATAAGATAACTGACAATCTGGTCTTACCAGCTTTCTGATCCATTCTTCCCATGTCAGCCGGTGAACTTTTAAAACCACAAAATGGATCATGTCGTTTCCTCTCCCCTCATAAGTGCCTGATACTTAGAAGTTGCTCAGTAAGAATTTGCTGAGTGAATGAATGAATGAATGAATGAAAACATTTGCCAGATGGCAAGTGGAGCCCTAAAGAAGAGTCATTGAGAAATTCTCTGTAGCAAAGGTTGCCTTGGAGAATGATATTTAATAATCATTTTAAAGTAGTTGCTTATTCTGTGGTATGCTGTAATCACTTTTCTCCCTACATCACCTGTCCAAATGACCTTCAGTAAAAGTCTGCTGCAGAAAACTGCACTATGTGGGAGGATTTAAGGAACGACAGAAGAAAGGTGTCTAGGCCTTAGGGAAAACAAAGTCCAAAGATGGCAGTCATCGCAAGAAAGCTAATGAACAGGGGAACCCAGAATTCAGTCAGGATTCAGTGAAAGCAGGTATTCCAAGTGAGAGGTGAAGAGAATCCTCTGAAAATTTGGGAAGGAGGTGATGTCTCCCTTATCTTGGGTTAAAAGTTTAGGTCCTTTTATTTGGCTGTTGAAGGAAAGGTCCTTTTATTTGGCTGTTGAGGGATTGTGGATACCCTAAGGACCTCTTGGAGGTTACATAAGGATGATAAGTATTTAACTTATAGAGATGTTTTGAGGATTTTATTACAATAATTCATGTAAAGAGCTTAGCACAGTATCTGGTATGTGGTAAGAGCTCAGTAAATGTTCACTGTTGTTTTTCTTTACTTTCTTCCACTCCCTCCACTCCCTTTCTGCCAGGCTCCATTCATTCTTTTCCAAGGACACGCAGGAGGCGTGTCCACTTCTCCCTCCGCCCACCCCAAGCTCCTCCCCTCACTTCTGCCCGGATTGGTTCCTGGGAGGCGGAACCCAGAGAAGAGTCCAGTACGAAGCGGTGGGGGCGGGGCGCATGCGCGGGCTGGGCTGGGTGGAGGTGGAGAGGAAGAGCTGCCGGAAGTAGGCGGCAGAGGTGGTGGCCGAGCAGGCGCCAGCTGCCTGGGAAACCGAGGCGCGGGACTGACGACCGACAGACGGGCAGGCCAGACGGTTGTCTCTGTGTCCCGCACCCAGGAGGGCCGAGAGTCCCCTTTGCCGGGGCTGAGGGTTTCTGGTCCGGCAGCTTCCTCTGGACTCTGGCTTTTCCCTAAGCCCGCCAGGGGGCGCCGCATTGAGGGGCTGCAGAGTGGGGGGCGGGCGCGGCTGAAGCAAGAAGGGGCGCGGGGCCGGAGGAGAGGGCTCTCCCCCGCTCAGGAGGTGCCCCTGGGCGGGGGACCGGGAGTCTTCACCTCCGAACTGAGGCAGAGGTTTCTGGGGGCGAAGAGGGCGCGCTGCCCTCTGCCCCCGCCGGCACCCTGGCCATGACGGGCAAGTCGGTGAAGGACGTGGATCGGTACCAGGCGGTCCTGGCCAACCTGCTGCTGGAGGAGGATAACAAGTTTTGCGCGGACTGCCAGTCTAAAGGTAGTGCACCTACCCCGGCGGGCGAGGGGTCCTCCAGCCTCCGGGCCGCTCCTAGGAGGCGGCCTGTGTGGGGAGGGGGTTTCTGAAGCTTTGGCCTCCCAAATCATCCGAAATGGTAACCGCGTGCTACTGTTGCTGCTGAGCTTGCTAGGTGTTCTGCAGCGCCCGGATTGGTGTGGGGAGAGATTGCGAGGGCGAATATGTTGGGGCGGGGG